CAAGAAGCCCATGGTAACTCTGGAGGAGTGGCAGAGATCCAAAGCTCAGGTGGGAGAATCTGTCCACAGGACAACTATTAGTCGTGCACTCCACAAATCTGGCCTTTATAGAAGAGTGGCAAGAAGAAAGCCATTGTTGCAAGAATACCATAAGAAGTCCCGTTTGCAGTTTGTGAGAAGCCATGTGGGGGACACAGCAAACGTGGAAGAAGGGGCTCTGGTCAGATGACACCAAAATTTAACTATTTCACCTAAAAGCAAACGCTATGTGTGGCAGAAAACTATCACTGCACATCACCTTGAACACACCATCCCCACCATGAAACATGGTGGTAGCAGCATAATGTTGAGGGCATGCTTTTCTTCAGCAGGGACAGGGAAGCTAGTCAGAGTTGATGGAAAAATGAAAGGAGCCAAATACAGGGCAATCTTAGAAGAAAACCTGTTAGAATCTGCAAAAGACTTGAGACTGGGGCAGAGGTTCATCTTCCAGCAGGATAACGACCCTAAACATACAGCCAGATGAAATGGTTTTCTTTTTCTAACACACTGTGACCAAAGTAGTATACGGTTACCATAGTAACATTGTACTACTCTGGGGAAGTGATCAGTATTTTTTTTTTCCCTTTTTTTTTTTACACATTATGCTTATAGCAATGAATTTCATTGGTATATACAAGCATTTTACTGAATTAAATTGACTCATGACACAGATGGGCTGTGACTGACCCAGTCTATACCATGTGATCATTGAGACCAATCACAGCTAGCAACACAGTTGTGTACAATGGATGGCATGAAAGGAAGCCATCCATTGTTTACAATTGTCATGTGACCTGCTCTGATTGGTCACAGCAGTCATATGGTACCGGCAGCAGGCCAGTACACAGATCAGTCATCAGCTCTGTCCTATGGACACAGCCAGTGACAGATCTCGCTGCAGCCCCGCAGGTGCACCTGTGGCAGCTATCCAGAAAGAAGCAAAAAGATCACTTTTTTTAAAATGTTTTAAAGGCAAAGGAGAGATTTGGGGTCTTTTGACCTCAGATCTCTCCTTAAAGAGGACCTGTCATCCTTTTTTCTATTACAAGGGATGTTTACAGTCCTTGTATTAGGAATGAAAGTGATAAAGAAAATATAGTGACAGTGTAAAAATAAAATAAATAAGAAAACTTTTTTTAAAGCACTTCCATCCCTCTGTGCTCATAGAAGTGAGCGCATACGTACCGGTAACTTGCACACGCATATGTAAACGGCAAGAGCAATAAATCTAGTGCTAAACCTCCTCTGTAACTCTAAACAGGTAACCTTTAAATATTTTTAAAGCATTGCCTACGGAGATTTTAAAGTACCATAGTTTGTTGCTATTCCATGAGCATGTTCAAATTTTAAAAAATTACATGTTGGGCATCTATTTATGCGCCATAACATCATCTTTCATATTTTACAAAAAATGGGGTATATATAGAGTTTTTTTCTTTAATTCAGTAACGTGTATATATTTTTTTAAAAATGCGTTAAAAAAACTATGCACAAATACCATGTGACACAAAAAATTTCAATAATTGCCATTTCATTCTTAAGGGTCTTTGCTAAAAAAATATATATAACGTTTGGGGGGTTATAAGTAATTTTCTAGCAAAAAATACTGATTTACACTTGTAAACAAAAAGTGCCAGAAAATGCCTGGTCTTCAAGTGCACAAAGAAAGCCTTGATGTGTTGGTTCTAATACTTAAAACTGAAAATGGTCACACTTCAAAATAGGTTTAGTACACAAATTAAGTAGCATTAACTTAATACATATGAGCATACGGTAGCAGTAAATGAATACATGTGTATTTGGCACTAAAAATTTGGCTGTTGTGTTGGCATACTCATCACATGATTCCGACTTATTGTGTTTGGGTTTGATGGAGGTAGATCCATCAGAATCTCTGAATCATAACATAATGAATGAATCCGAAAATTATTTTGTTCTACTCATTCTTTCAGATGCCCATGATTCCCTTTGGTATCAACCAATCAGCTCCTTCCATTTCTCTTTGTGGGTTGGATTAACAGTGATGACTTCGAGTGCATAAGTAATCTCCGGAAATAACGAATTAACACGTTAAAACAAATATAGCTAATCATCCAAAATAACGTCCAAAAATACAAATCCATTTGGATAAATGAATATATGAAATGAATCCAAATATACAAAACTAATTCCAAACACAAGTCCTTCTACCATAACAAATATGACAAAATGAAATTATTTACATAACGAATGAATCCGAAACAAATTTTTCTGTCGTGCGCATCTCTAATCCACAGCATACATAACATGCACATTATGGCAAGCTAACTTCCTAGTTTGACTCTTCTATTGATGACAGGTCCACACTCTACATCACAGCTCCATCTCCATCCATTGCTACTAGACAACCAAAAAAAACAAAACAAAAAACTCTATCTGCTAATATTCCCCACCTTTTAGTTCCATTGTACCTTCAAACTAACACCTAAATCTAGTTCTTAACCACAATCCAACTCCTATCACAAGCCTTTCATTTAATTCTAACCTTGAAAATTAAATGTTGACCTGGATAGACTTCAACCCTTACATCTTTTGTGATGAGAAGTTATTGATGCCTAGACGCCCAGACCAAGCTTAGCAGTGTCAGTATGCATTGGTTAACTTGACAAAATCTCTATTGCCTAATTTGCCATCCCAAATAATTTTACATTGCCTTTTAATGACAAATAAGCACGGCCATCATTGGAAATCACTGGTCCCCATACAGCTTACTTGAAAAGGCCCTACTCCCCAATACATTATCGGTGGCACTGTCTACTATCCCACACTCTATACCCACATTACACCCAACTCTACACCCCCAGCATTCCCCATTATCCAGCACTCTGCACCACCTGCATCCCCAATACTCCATTTGTACCCACATTACCCATCCTCCATTTCCATTCTTCCCCACTACCCTGCACACTTCAGCCCCTGCATCCCCCATTGCTACACATTCTGTATTCCCTATTACCCCATACTATGCTTCCCCCATTAACCACTCTCCATGACACCTCACTCTTCAGCCCCTGCATCTTCCTAACACACCTCACTCTGCACATGCTGCTTTCCCTATTACACCTCACTCACTACCCCCTGCATCATCCATTATACTTCACTTTGCACCCCCTATTACACTGCTCTCTGCACCCCCCATTACATTTCACTCTGCAGTCCCCATTACCCCACTTTTTCCCTTTCCATTAAATCTCACTCCGCACCGCCTGCATCCTCCAATATGCCTTTATAGAGTGAAGCTTCATGTAGAGGAGGTGTGCCCACTGGCCTTCAGGGCTCCTTCCATAAATTTGTCATTGCACTCTCTTTTACAGATCAATGCAATGCCCCCTCCCCTGCCAAGCATTGGCGATTTTCAGTGTTGTTGTCAGGAATGGACTGGCCAGCAATGGTGGGACTCGCCTGCCTTATGGGCTTCAGTACCAGGGCTGGCCAGCGGGTGCTCCCAGCAATCAGAGACTCAACCTTGCAGCCAGCTAAACACCTGAAACTGCTTATACTGGTGTATTTAAGGGATGGCCAGACCTGCAGACTCTGCCTTGGTGTGTGTTTTTCCCTGGGCCCTGTATCCTGTTCCTGCATCCTGTTCCTGTCTTGTTGCTGACCCTGCCTGATCTGACCTCTGCTGACTTCTCCTGCTCTGACCCCGGCTCGTTCCTGACCATCCCTCTGCCTGACCCTCTGTACCACGCTGCCCGCTACCTGCTGAACCTGGCTTGTGACCCCGACCATTCTCCGCTTGCTCCCCCTGTACCTACCTGCCCGATTGATATTGACCCGGCCTGCCTGACGGCGCTTGCATTGTATGTACTGTTATCTGTGGGTGGTTGGTTTGGTTCGTTTGCACTGTGTTATGTTTTAGTATTGCACTGCGTTTAGGTTTGTATTGTTAGTGTCAATAAATTATATTGTTTATAACATATCTGAAGTCTGCGTTTCCCTGCGTCAGTCACATACCCTCTGGTCATACCCGGGAGCCCTGACATTACACCAAGGCCAATCCTGACCAGAAGTGGCTGCACAGGGAAGCCATCTTGGTTTGTTGATGGGAAGGATGGATCTTGATGAGGTTGTGTATTTATATCTGCTAGTGTTTGATGACAGAGAGTATGCTTATCAAACTCTGAAGGAGTATCCCCGGGATGAACTGCTAGAATGTATACGGCTCGCTCATGTTCTAGTAGATCAGGGCACAGAATTCTCTGAGGTGCAGCCATTGATTCAGATTTGTGCAGAGTTGGTTTCATCTGGTACCCCCCCCGAATGCAGGGATGAATTTTTGCCGCCATTTAGTGCCGACCAGGTAGAGTCCCTGGTATGGTTATTAGAGGATGATGTGGATTACTTTCTGGAGCGTTATTCCACATGTTCACCACAGGTACTAAGAGATTGTATAAACGCAGTGCAGTCTTTGGTCAGACAGGCTTTGCGTAAGCTCAGCTTTGTTCAACCCATACTGCAGACATGGACAGATTTGTTGCATCCAGCCTCAGTCAGCCTACAAAAACCCAGTCCTGCTTCTAATCTATTTCCTCAAAGCTCTATTCCTGCATTCCCAACAGCTCCTCCTGCCCTGCTATCTACCGCATGTCAGTACCCTGTTCCCACTCGCTGCACCTATCCTGCCTTTAACCCTGTAAAAAAGCCCTCTGTAGCAACTGCTCCCTCCCCTGTTCCATCCTCCAGCTCTTCTCTGTCTCCAGCTGCTCCATTCGTTTGCAGACCTGCGTTCACTTGCAGTGCTCCAGTAGTTAAAACCAGAAAAAAAGCGGAAATTCTTTCCAACCAATACCATCCTGCCAGTATCCAAACCGGTAAGCCTGCCGTCTGAGAACCTGCCTTCCGTGGTTCAGCCTGGTGCCTCGGCACCCGCACTTCAACCTGATGTCTGTACCCAGCCTGATGCCTGTACCCAGCCTGATGCCTGTACCCAGTCTGATGCCTGTACTCAGCCTGACGCCTCCACTCAGCCTGACGCCTCCACTCAGCCTGACGCCTCCACTCAGCCTGACGCCTCCACTCAGCCTGACGCATCCACTCAGCCTGATGCCTCTACCCAGCATGATGAACTGATCCAGCCTGATGATCCTATTAGGCCAGTTGACTCGATGCCTGCTGTTGATCCAGATGATCCGGTACCTGATCCGGTGCCCGCTGTCGTGCCAATTGACTCAGAGCCCGCTGTTGTACCTGGTGACTCGGTGCCCACTGCCTTGCCAGATGACGCGGTGCCCGCTGGCGAGCCAAATGACCTGATGCCTGGTGACCCAGTGCCCGCTGTCATACCTGGTGACCCGATGCCCGCTGGCGAGCCAAACGATCCAATGCCTGGTGACCCGGTGCCCACTGCCTTGCCAGATGACGCGGTGCCCGCTGGCAAGCCAAATGACCTGATGCCTGGTGACCCAGTGCCCGCTGTCATACCTGGTGACCCGATGCCCACTGTCGTGCCAATTGAGTCAGAGCCCACTGTCGTGCCTGGTGACTTGGTGCCCACTGTCTTGCCAGATGACGCGGTGCCCGCTGTTGAGAGCCAAATGACCTGATGCCTGGTGACCCGATGCCCGCTGTCCAGCCAGACGATCCAATGTCTGACCCAGTGCCAGCGGTCATGCCAGTTGACTCGGAGCCCACTGTCGTGCCTGGTGACCCGGTGCCAGTCGCTCCGCCTCCGCCTGGGGGCCCGAGACCTGTCGCTCCGCCTGGGGGTCCGGCGCCCGCCGCCCTGCCTGGGGGCCCGAGACCTGTCGCTCCGCCTGGGGGTCCGGCGCCCGCCGCTCCGCCTGGGGGCCCGAGACCTGTCGCTCCGCCTGGGGGTCCGCCCGCGCCCGCCGCTCCGCCTGGGGGCCCGAGACCTGTCGCTCCACCTGGGGGTCCAGCGCCCCGCCGCTCCACCTGGGGGCCCGCCGCTCCGCCTGGGGGCCCGCCGCCCGCCGCTCCGCCTGGGGGCCCAGATGCCTGTCGCCCCGTCTGGGGGCCCGATGCCTGTCGCCCCGTCTGGGGGCCCGATGCCTGCTGCTCCGCCTGGGGGCCCGGGGCCTGCTGCTCCGCCTGGTGGCCCGCTGCCTGCTGCTGCTCGCCTGGTGATCCGATGTGCCTCTGCCCGGAGTCCAGCCCGATGTGCCTCTGCCCGGAGTCCAGCCCGATGTGCCTCTGCCCGGAGTCCTGCCCGATGTGCCTCTGCCCGGAGTCCTGCCCGATGTGCCTCTGCCCGGAGTCCTGCCCGATGTGCCTCTGCCCGGAGTCATGCCCGATGTGCCTCTGCCCGGAGTCATGCCCGATGTGCCTCTGCCCGGAGTCATGCCCGATGTGCCTCTGCCCGGAGTCCAGCCCGATGTGCCTCTGCCCGGAGTCCTGCCCGATGTGCCTCTGCCCGGAGTCCTGCCCGATGTGCCTCTGCCCGGAGTCCAGCCCAATGTGCCGCTGCCCGGAGTCCAGCCCGATGTGCCGCTGCCCGGAGTCCAGCCCGATGTGCCGCTGCCCGGAGTCCAGCCCGATGTGCCGCTGCCCGGAGTCCAGCCCGATGTGCCGCTGCCCGGAGTCCAGCCCGATGTGCCGCTGCCCGGAGTCCAGCCCGATGTGCCGCTGCCCGGAGTCCAGCCCGATGTGCCGCTGCCGGTGTGCCGCTGCCCGATGTGCCTCTGCCCGGAGTTCTGCTCGATGTGCCTTTGCCCGATGTGCCGCTGCCCGGAGTCCTGCCCGGTGTGCCGCTGCCCGGAGTCCTGCCCGGTGTGCCAGTCTTTGATATCCCGCCAGTTACCAGACCCGGGCGGTGGAACATTTTGCCCAGCTAGGACTGTTTGGAGCGTCCTGAGGCCGCTCCTTGAGGGGGGGGGGGTACTGTCAGGAATGGACTGGCCAGAAATGGTGGGACTCGCCTGCCTTATGGGCTGCAGTACCAGGGCTGGCCAGCGGGTGCTCCCAGCAATCAGAGACTCAACCTTGCAGCCAGCTAAACACCTGAAACTGCTTATACTGGTGTATTTAAGGGATGGCCAGACCTGCAGACTCTGCCTTGGTGTGTGTTTTTCCTGGGCCCTGTATCCTGTTCCTGCATCCTGTTCCTGTCTTGTTGCTGACCCTGCCTGATCTGACCTCTGCTGACTTCTCCTGCTCTGACCCCGGCTCGTTCCTGACCATCCCTCTGCCTGACCCTCTGTACCACGCTGCCCGCTACCTGCTGAACCTGGCTTGTGACCCCGACCATTCTCCGCTTGCTCCCCCTGTACCTACCTGCCCGATTGATATTGACCCGGCCTGCCTGACGGCGCTTGCATTGTATGTACTGTTATCTGTGGGTGGTTGGTTTGGTTCGTTTGCACTGTGTTATGTTTTAGTATTGCACTGCGTTTAGGTTTGTATTGTTAGTGTCAATAAATTATATTGTTTATAACATATCTGAAGTCTGCGTTTCCCTGCGTCAGTCACACACCTCTGGTCATACCCGGGAGCCCTGACAGTTGTAGTCCAGGATGAGAAACAAAGAAAAGGAAAAGCCCAAGGTTAGGAAGTTTGTGGACAGTAAGATTTCCAGGCTCCCCCACCCCCCCCCCAGCTGACCTGGGCCCAAGCCCCATACAGGAGGGCTGCATGTAACCCCCTATAATAGCCCTGAAGGCTTTATTTTGGTACAATGTTTTAATATATACCCTGCTCAGACTTTATACGATCAGCTGACTTTATTTATTACAACTGTGCGGTCAATTTAATAAAAAAAAGAAATATCTGACAGCTGTCTACAAAAAATGATAATGCTTTGTTAATTGTTAATTTGAGGGATTCACACCGCAACAATAGGGTTGGTAATACTGTCACCTGAAACACAAACCAATTTTTGCCATAATGTTATCGACAACAAAAAATTGTCCTCAGAAATCTAATGCATCAAACAGTTGGAGTTAAGAACTTGGGAAAAATATCTGCACTGAAAGTAAAACAAGTAATCTTGGCCTAGATGAATTAGAAGTGTTGGTAAAGGTAATAAATCAATGGCCCAGTAATATAGGTTTCTGAAAAAGTAATAAGGCCTTGACTCTACAGATATTATTCAATGTAATACAACTATAACCCAGTTCTGTATGCGTTGGTAAAAGTAATAAAGCCCATTCCCAGATTGTATAGGCATCCTTGTTCCTTCACTTGCCCCACATTTTGTCACTTAGAGAAGCCAATCCTTGCTCTCTATGATGTGTCAGTTAGGACAATTTTTTTGGAAGAGGGCGGAGAATTTGGGGATAGTTTATATAAAGAGAATCTGAACTTTAAGGTCTGCAATTTTGTAGAAAACATTTGGAAAAGTTAATTGTATCTAATCAATAAACTAAAAAATGTACCTCATGTCTTAAATTCTTAAAAAAAAAAAAAAAAAAATCAGTTTACTTCCTGGTATGTAAGGGTGAATAGAGTGCCAAGAGCTTCATAGCTGTATATCTGCAGTGTTAGATCTAAGGCACTGCTACCTCTGACTGCTAGTCTCAGGAGATTTGGAGTGAATTGGGGAATGCTCTCCCTGCTGGAGACACTGACATTAGGAAGCAAAACTATGCCTCTACTAAAAAGGCTGCCTCCATGCAGTCAGTGCAGATCAAGGCATGGTAAGTCAGTATGGAGGGAAAATCAGCTGAAGGAAAACCACTGGCAATACTAGCAACTAGACCTTGCCATCTGCCTGTCTTTTTGTGGGCACAGCTTCCAGAATTCAGTTTCTCTTTATGAAACAACTAGGTCACTAAGATACATAAATTATTTTAACTCTGTTAGTTACATGTAGGTGTGGAATTATTTTTTTCACATCAGTTTTTTTTAACAGTCAATGCCCCCCATATTCTCATTGTATTTTGTCTCATGCATTATCCACCACAAATACCTTTTCCTATGAAATATCCTCATTCAATATTCAGGCATCCTTTCAATTGGTGCCCAATAGAATTTCACAGTCAACACCCCTGTCAAAGATAACATTTTAAAGAGAGTTTTTTTTTTAATGTCATATTTTTTAGCCATCTCTAATCTCCTGCACATGAACATTCATAGAGAGAGAAAGGGGCTCCATGGTAAGTGAATCAGGTGTACTGCATTGCACAGTGCTAAAATTCTGCCTACTGACTGGAGAAAAGGGCCTCATCTGTGATCTACTGCTCTTTCACCATCCAATCACAATCTGCAGCAAGTTATTTTGCTTTACCAGCTGTACTGTACTTTTCTTCACTACAGTCAAAGGGCCTTTAGGCCCCACTCAGACCTGTATCTGTACAATTTGAAGTGTAGTGCTACCCTGGAAGGAATTTGCTCTCTCCATTGTGAACACACCAAGAACTGAGCAATCAGCGGTCATGTGATTGCTCTCGGTCTTTGGCCAATGTGGGACAGTTGCAGCATCAAACACACATACCCATCATCTTTTTTAAACCCATACTTCTCATTTAAAGTATAACTTTTTATTTCAGTTTTAGATTGGAGTGGAAAGGGATTAGAACACAGTTTGATTATCATAACCCATAACACAGATGCACCCACTCTCTCATATGTCCTGTGATCATTATAACCACAAAATGAAATACATTTCAAATTTTCAGTAGCCACAAGAACAGGAATATAGGGCAAACTTTCCAATGGGGCACTTGTTCAGGTGCGTCATACTTACTAGGGGTACAACTGGGGGAATCAATGGTGGAGAAGGATCTGGGAGTTCTGGTAGATCACAAGCTTAATAATGGAATGCAATGCCAAGCTGCAGTTTCTATAGCGAGCAAAATCCTCTCTTGTATTAAAAGAGGTATAGACTCCAGAGAGAGAGATATCATATTACCCCGGTACAAATCATTAATAAGACCTCATCTCAAATATGCAGTTTAGTTTTGGGCACCAATTCACAAAAAGAACATTGGGGAACTGGAGAAAGTACAGAGAAGAGCAACTAAACTGATAAGAGGCATGGAGGAGCTCAGCTATGAGGAAAGATTAGAGGAACTGAATTTATCATCTCTTGAGAAGAGGAGATTAAGGGGGGATATGATCAACATGTATAAATACATCAGTGGTTCATATAGTGAACTCGGTGTAGAGCTATTCATCCTGAAGTCATCACAGAGGACAAGGGGGCACTCTTTACGTCTGCAGGAAAAATTTCCAAATACGGAAAGGTTTATTCACACTGAGAGCTGTGAAAATGTGGAATAGACTCCTCAGGAGTTGGTTCTGGCCAGCTCAATAGATTACTTTAAAAAAGGCCTGGATTTTTCTTAGATACACAGAATATAACTGGATACTACCATTTATAGGTAAAATGATCTAGGGAATATCCGATTGCCTCTTGGGGGATCAGGAAGGATTTTTTTTCCCCTGCAGGAGCAAATTGGATCATGCTTTGCTGGGTTTTTTTGCCTTCCTCTGGATCAACTGTGGGTATAGGATTATAACTTTTTTTTTTTTTTTAATGGTTGAACTGGATGGACTTTTTTCTTTTTTCAGCCAGACTAACTATGTAACTATACACCAATGGCAGAAGTCTTCCAAACAAAATAAGTGAGTTGGAAGCTTTTGTGTCTAAAGAAGTGACTGATCCAGTTACTCACTTTGGAGAGATTTCCTCTGATTTCCTGTTGTGGATATGGGACAGGGCGTGAAGGGAAATCTCCTCAATAGCACACAGATGGAAAAAAAATGACAGGGGTTATAACCTTACTCTGTCCAAAATAAAAATAAAGTATTACCAGTTCTACTTTAACCATGTTTGTACTAGCCTGTAGAGATCCCTTCAATATTAGGCCATTGTTCAATACTGTGTAGACATTTGTGTGATATTTAAAAACCATTAGTTTATTTTTAGGGTCATTCTTTTGTTGCATTACCCACTTCCTCTTGAGCTTCAGTTTATAAAGTTTAGAAAGATGCCCTGAAATGTTATTGCAGATTTTGCTAGTACAATTTTGTATTCATATTTCCATTAAGAACAGCAAACTGTCTCATTTCAGAGACAGCAAAGCATGCCAAGACCATGTTATTGCCAGCATCATGATTTGAATATGGACT